GAAAAAAAGAAAGAAAGAAGCAAGGTAAAAATATATATGTATATTCAAAAATCATAACTCTATTGTGGGGTTTAGAACACATACAGGTGTAATTTATAGGAGAACTCGAGCGGAAGGCTAAAGGTGGAATCCCACCATTACCTGAAATGGTCAGTGTGGGCTCTCGGAGGTGCAGGGTCCCCTGAGATTCTTAGAGGGGTGCTCTCTGCGGAGCGATGGCTTTCCACGTGAGGCCTGGGATGCCCTGGAGGCCCCGAAGACCCTTTGTGGGGGGAACTGTGAGGTCAAAATGGTTTTCACAAGAATGCTAAGATGTTTGCTTTTCTCTCCCTCATGACTTTACGATGGAGCAAAGCCGAGGCTGTGTGATGTGTGCTGACTCATTCCCTGATAACAACTGGAACGTATATTGTGTATTTTTGTGTTTCACATTTTCCCTTGTAATTTCCAATACAGTGACTATTAATAGGTACAATTTATAGCAGCAAAATCTCCTCAGCAGTCTCAACCACTTTTGAGGGTTTAAAGTTGGAAATCTGCTGCCCTAGACCAGCCACAGGGTAAGGGAGGCAAAGAGGCATAGCCAAAGGACAGTGTGTAGGTTAGAGCAGACTTCTGAAATCTAGACTGGTTTAATTTGGTCGGGGGAACTTGTTTCTAATAGGGTGTACAATTAGAAATCACCCAGGTTTGTCTCGGGCTGATGGGTTTCCTGGGTTGTGGACCTTTCTACTAAACTGGTTTAGCCCCAGCAAACCAGGAAAGTCAGTCACCTTATTCAAATGTGTCAATCATGTCTTTTGACTCCCCTTCCTGTACCCAAATGTGAGTGCTAAAGTCACATCTGGTCTGTGTTGAAGCCTCCAAATATAGATGCAAGAACTAAGATGCTTGGCACGCTAAGTAAAGGAAGTAAGCTATAGAATTATTAATTACACTGTTCACAAACATAGAAAACATCTTTAAGACAAATTTAAGACTACAGGGTTATGGATCATTTAAAGGATGCTTACTAAAATTTCTGTAATATTATTAAGTCACTTCAGTGGTTAAAAAATAAGTGTATTTACAATTATAATTGTGACTGATGCTTCTTTCTAAATTGGGCAAGAGTGGAAGATCTTAAAAATGATGGGAGACCCTGGCTCTGGGGCATCTTCAGTGTGTGATTAAGCAAGAACGTTTTTCCTCGGGCACAGGCTTAAGCTGGGTGTGGATCCTCTCATGCTGTGTGAGCCAGGACAGGGCACTCCAGGGGCCAGGAATAAAAACATTTCCATCCCTCGGTCTCCATCTCCTCCTCTAGTCTCGCCCCTCCAAGTTTATATCTGGGGCCACCAAATTTTGTTTTTCATTAACTGTAGAGGGGCAAAGGGCAGAGGCGGGAGCTGGAGGGCAACCACAGAGAGCACGTGGGTGTGAGGGCAGAAGTGCACAAACACACTTCAGGTTTGGGCTTTTACTTTTGGTTTTCTTTTCAAAATCCTGTTGGTGCTGCTACCTGCTGTCCTGTGGGGGGAACGGCCCCATAGACGGGCCCAGGTGTTCCTGGCTGGGAGGCTTCTCCACAGCCCTCATTTAGAGATTTGCTCTCTTGTGATCTCAGCAGCCACAGGAGGCCCTGGGCTGAGGGGCTGGCATGACACCGGCCATTCCCTTCCCTGGCTTCCCTGCCTGTAGATGCCCTGTCCCGGCCTGGGCCCCTTGGGGGATTCTACCAGGGCAGGAAGGGCAGCAGCAGGGGCGGAGGGGCCTGAGTCAGCTCCCTGGAGACTGGGGCTTCTTTCTAGAATACAGGTG